TTTATAAAATAATTTAACAAATACATTTATTCATGAAATAATTTAATGAAATCAAAGTAATTTAACAAATACATTTATTTATAAAAGCCGTAAATACATTTATTTATGAAAGCCATAAATAGATAATTTAATGAAATCAAAGTAATTGATTTATGTATGATGATTTATGTATGAAATGATACAAATAGTATTACTAAAAGTGCCATGACATGTTATAAATGTATGAATAAAATATTAAAAATACGTAAAACCTGTTTATTGATTTGTGGGATGAAACGACCCGATATGACGGGATGAAACAGCCCGGGGTGAACTGGTCAGGGGATGAAACGACCTGCTCCCGTATGGACTACACTACAATTAATGTTTATGTGTGTATAGGAAGCTTTCTTCCCCTTTAATAGGCTTAAATTACGAATAGCTTTATGTTAGCCTATTTAGCATAATATAGTGTTCTGAATACAAAAGGAAAAAAAGAAATTGGCACACCTCAATTCCCATAGAGTATTCAATTTACGTCTGCAATATTCCTAGAAAAGTAGGTGTTTTCGTAATACGATAGAGTGAAAGCGTACTGACCCGTACGATCGTAGGCTACCTGCTTCACATTTACGCCAGTAATATTCCTCCAGAATTACGTGTCTTCATTTAAACGGCAGAAAATGAGAGCAAAATAACTGTCGAAACATTGACTGTCTTCATTACAAAACGGTATTTTAAAATTCCATTGTAGCATCGACATCCGTATGCAATGCACGCATTGACCCTTTTTCCCGCCAAAATGAACCAAGGCCATTTTAGTCGCAAAGTATTTTGTTCAACGAATTAAAATTAAACTGATGCGTATAGCTAAAAACAGTGCGCGATTTGGGTGGATACATTTTTCGTATGATTACGGAATATTTTGTTGTTCAGTGAATGGAAAATGATTAAAATATTGTGTGATGGCAAATAGGTTGCCTGATGGGAACACATGGTCAATTCTTACACAGGGAAATGGTTACAGATAAAAATTACTGTTTTGTGAATAATTATCGAGCTTGTATATTTACTGGATTATCAAATATAAGGTCTGTACTTATTACTTCGTTAGATCATGAACTGAATGTTTGTTAAAATGTTGGGTTACAATTAGTTTATTGACTAATCTTTGACTACTTTTAATTTCGTCAACCGACATCAAAGGGATTAAAATGTCCGTACGCAGGGGAACGGTAAATCACGGGAACGGTAAATCACGTTTGTTCAACATTTTTCCACGCTAAATTTAGGACAAGAAACTCGATTCGCAGATTCCCTTAAATTTGATTCGCACTTGCGTTGTTTTTGTTTAGCAAACTGCGATGCGATACCACTTATCATATTCCCTGCCCCGTCCGTCCGTCCATCTGTCGGTCCGTCCATCGTCCACAATTTCTTGTGAACGCTCTAACGCCAAAAGTTATCGTCCATTTGTTTTAAAATTGATATATATATGTTGTTTACATTAGTGAGATGAAGAAGCCTATTTAATATCAATAATTTCCGTTTATTACGTCTAGAGTTATGGCCCTTGCTTCACTTTAGTGAACCTTGTGAACGCTCTAATGCCAAAAGTTAACATTCGATCTTTCTGAAATTTATATGCATTATCTAAATTAGTGAAACAAAGAAGCCTATTGAATTTCAGCAATTGTAGTCCAAGCAATATAGCAAAAGTGTGGGCAGTTGCTGCAATAGAAATGCCAACCACGGTTTATGGTTGGTTTAGACGTATATTATGACCAAAAAAAAGTCCCAGTCCGAAATCCGTGCCCAAATGGGTCAAATTGGCCAAAATCCAAAATGGTCACCGCTTTTGGCTTGTAAATTCCAATGTCCACCCACTTATCACAATATGATCGAGTTTGGTATCAAAATATACGTTTTCGGGGTAACTGAATCCATTACCATACACATTTTTGTTATAAGTGTTACCGCTGAGTCAATAATAGGGTTTATTCAAGATGGTGGTCAGTTTTGGCGGGAAAATTCGAATTTTACTTAAGGATCAAGTTTGGTGTCAAAATATATGTTTTCGAGGTAGCTGAATCTATTTTTGTACATATTTTAGTGATTAGTGATTCCCTGTGTCAATATAGGAGAAATTCCAATTTGGGATTTAGTTTTCCATATAAGGATTGGAGATTAATGATACTCCTACCTTAGACCTAATACAATGACTTTCATCCAGTATAAACTAAATTTCATTTGGAGTGTCACCTAGTTCACTGCGGTAGCGGCATAGGGCTATGTTGACTGGGGCCACTGTCAGGTCACTGCAGAAGCTGGTCGTGCCTTTTGAAGCACGTGGCACAATGATTCAGATGTTGAGACACAGATGGATACAGTATCGCCTGTTTGTCAGATAGACAGTGAAGCATTGAATAATGAATAACCCATAGTTATTGGTCAATGTTTTAAGGTTAATGAAGTGGAGGAGTCTGTATCAAGGACTAGAGGGTCTGCGGTGCCAAAATTCATTTTTGCAGACTGTTGTCTTTTACATGGTCTGTAGGAAAGACTAGTAGACGGTCCATTACAACAGCGGTGACCGCTGTTACAACAGTAAACAGTAGAACTCGCAATGCCTATTTTTTGGACAAGCCAAGACAGGACAAATGACGACTTGACATTAATCTAGTTGTATTTAATAAATCAGCATTGAGGCTGGTGTCCCTAAATAGATGACACTCATTAATTACTTGCACATCTAACTTATTTATAAAACATCTAGCACAGAAATTGTTCTTCACTCTGTGTAACCTAAGCAAAAAATTTAATAGCAGAGGCATGCTGGCCAGGTAGTCAACTGCCTACCCTGCCCTCATAAATGCAAAACAAAAGAAACTCGAAATGGTTGATAACGCTCGAATACGATGAGATTCCCTTACAAGGTATATGGGAGGCAGCGGGGGTGGCTATGTGCCTTCTCTTCTGAAAATGTGCCATCGAATATTGTGCCCCCCTTTTCTGCTGTCACCTGTAATTTCCTTGGCCTGGCTTAAAGTGTATTTTGATCGTCGTCTCGTTCTTGAGGTTGTCAGTCTACTTTCAATTCTACCTCCCTACCCCTACCCTCATTAGAGAACAGAATCGAATGAAACTTGGCAGGTACCCTTTGTAAGGAATACCAGTCCCTTTTGATGCTTGTTTTTCTTTACTCACAGGTCGTTTAGTTGTTTACTGCAGCTAACTATGTTCATGTTCGGATCTTTGTGTCTTTTTCAAAATCCCTTAACCAAGTGTCAATGTATGGTATGTCATGGCATATATGTCAAATCGCTTCTACCATGTGCCATAGAACTCAAATTTTCCCCGATCCTACCCCCCCCCCCTAAAGTGCCCTAACTTTGGTCTGCCTACCCTCGGAGGCCCAAGCACGCCTTTGGCTTATTGTTGAACTTAGTCATGACTTTACACCAAGCTTTATTCTGTCCTAAATTCTCTGCCATTGAAATCAGTATCTCCGCTCATTCTTGAACGTAAGCCAGGAATCTTAATCGCCTCATCATTGTCGGCCTCCAATACTCGTTATCTTTCCGTCATTTTGGGAATGACGATGGGCAGTTCACTGCATATCTGACAAACAGGCGATATTGTATCCATCTGTGTCTCAACATTTGTATCATTTTCTGAAATAAATTCACCACGTGCTTCAATTTTCGCCCACGATACTGCGCCCACAGTGGGCTGAGAGTGTCCCCTTTCGTCATGCCTGCTACGCTGTTTCCGTAGTGAGCAGTGGTCGACCAGAGCGTCTAAATGAAATTTAGTTGATGCTTGATGAATGCCATCGTATTAGATCTGAGGCGGACTCGACCACTCGTAATCCCCAAATCTCCAATGGGATTTCCCATTATTTTGACCCAGGGGAACCAGTTAATTATCAAGATGAAAAAAATGTGTCGAAAATGAGATCAGCTGCCTTCAAAACATATATTTTGACACCAAATGAGGTAATTTTGTAAAATTCGAATTTTCCCGCCAAAACTGGCCGCCATCTGAAATTATTTCCTAATATTGACTCCGCGGTATAACTAATGACCAAAATGTGGATGGGAATGGATCCAGCTACCTCGAAAGGATATTTTATGATACTAAACTTAATCATATTATGGTAAGTGGATAAAAACTGGCATTTTCCAATCAAAACCGGCGGCCATTTTGGATTTTTGCCAATTTGACCCATTTGGGCATGGATTTCGGACTGGGACTTTTTTTTGGTGATAATATACGTCTAGACCGACCATAAAACGTGGTCGGCATTTCTATTGCAGCAACTGCCCGAAATAGTGCGAAATTGAGTTAAAATGCCTGGACTATTGCTGTTTATTACGTCTAGAGTTATGGCCCTTGTTTCACTTTTTTGAACCTTGTGAACGCTCTAATGCCAAAAGTTATCACCCAATCTTTGTGAAATTTATTTGCATGATTTAAATTAGTGAAACGAAGAAGCCTATCGAATTTCAACAGTTTCTGTTTATTACGTCTAGAGTTACATGTATGGCCCTTGTTTCACTTTGTTGAATCTTGTGAACGCTCTAACGCCAAAATTTATCACCCAATCTTTGTGAAATTTATATGCATGATTTAAATTAGTGAAACGAAGAAGCCTATTTAATTTCAATAATTTCTGTTCATTACGACTAGAGTTATGGCCCTTGTTTCACTTTATTGAACCTTGTGAACACTCTAACATCAAAAGTTATCTGCGGATCTGTATGAAATTTCCTTCAATAATTTCTAGAGTTATTACCTACAAAGGAATAAATATGCGACAACCCTTGTCGACCACTCGGATGATTTAGCTGCTGTGGGCGTATGTTTCGTTGCCTGGCAACCTATCTTTAACTATTATAGTGAGAACTACCAGCTCTTTAACTAATCTCCCATAATGTATCTTTAAGCAAGCTTGTTTTTGTTTCAATAGTCTATATTATTTGCTTGTTAGAAATGTGTGTTAATATTTCTATTTGTAGATTGGTATAACCTCAACAAACAGTATCAGTATGGTTTGTGTAGTAAGGCAGGATGTTTATTGTCTAATATCAGCAATATGTATGTTTGTAGTCTCTGTCCATGGTAAGAATCAGGATGTTAATAAATCAAATTTCCAATGCGTCCATGGCTGTCTATCATTTAATTTTCCCAGAATTTTCTTTTATTAAACTTTAAGATATTTGATGGAAATTTAGTACAGAGTTTCATGGACAGAGGGTCTGACAAAGTCTAAATGTTTTGTTTGTGGACACTCTACAACAATTTTTATCCGATTTTAATGAACCTTGACAGATGGGTTAAAATCCCAAAGATTTTGAAAGAATCGAAAAGTAACTTCATGGATGATGACCCCTGATTGTACAAAAAAACGCACTTGCAGCTTGTGGACACTCTAGATGCCACAGTTTTTATACGCCCACATTGGTGGTTGTATATTGTCCTCCCCCCCCCCCGTCCGTCTGGCCGCTCTAGAGACTAAAGTTAATATCTGATTGACTTTAAATTTATACACAGTGTTTAAGGTCATCAGATGAAAAAACCTATTGATTTTCAGCGATTTCCGATAATTACTGCCAGAGTTATGGCCCTTGATCACTTTAAAAAATCTTGTGGACACTCTAGAGGCCAAAGTTAATATCTGATTGACATTCAATTTATACACAGTGTTTAAGATCATGAGACGAAGAATCCTATTGATTTTCAGCGATTTCCAATAATTACTGCCAGAGTTATGGCCCTTGATCACTTCAAAATATCTTGTGGATGCTCTAGAGGCTAAAGTAAATATCCAATTGACTTTATATTTATACGCTGTGTTTGAGGTCATGAGACGAAAAATCCTATTGATTTTCAACGATTTCCGATAATTACTGCCAAAGTTATTTCCCTTGATCACTTTGAAAGATCTTGTGACGCTCTAGAGGCTAAAGTTATCATCCGATTGACTTCAACTTGATACACAGAGTTTAAGGTCTTGAGACGAACAAGTATATTGATTTTCCATGAATTTTGATAACTTGAACATCTAAATCCATGATATTAAATGTATCGTCATTCGTGTACTAAACGTTAGCATGGGGCAGAACTTTATAAAAACCAAACAAATTCTAATGATTTTCTGTTACTTAATTATTTTAGTGTATTATAAATGTGGGATCACGTGGCTAAGTGGGTAAGACGCTGGCTCGATAGCCTGGAGGTCGGGTGTTTGATCCCTGCATTGGCCGAGAAAGTTCATCCAAATTTCCCGGCATGGTTTCCCCTTGTCAGTGATGCAAGACGGAGGGCCTGACAAGGACAGCTGTCTAGTCGTTCGGATGAGATGAAAAACCGAGGTCCGTGTACATATTGGCGTGCACGTAAAAGATCCCTTGGCTGTTGGAATTCGATATAAGAGTAGGCCGTAGCGCCACTGCCCGGGCAAAATTTCCCTCACAGCACACTGTATGGCGTATGCCCGTCTTCATTAGCCAAGTTTAGGAGCAGAACAGTAGGACGTTAAACCCCATTTCATTTCATTTCATTATAAATGTTTCATTACCGAAAAAAGTAAAAATATGCGACAACTCATTTTGACTGCCCGGACGATGTAGCTGCTGTTGGCGTATGTTTCGTTACCTGGCAACCTATCTTTATCTGATTTTGATGAAACTTGTATAACCCAAAATCTTGAATCCTTTCGATATTCGCGCATATCGGACTATAAGTTCCTGGATTCTGCCACCCTATTGTACAAAAAATCAGGTGTTTAGCTTGTAATCCCTCAAGAGGTCACAATTGTTATCCGATTTAAAAAAACTTTTGAATATATCCTTGTTACACCATTGTGATGGTTGAGTTCGTATTTCGTGAAAATCGGACCAAAACTGCCCAACAAAATGGCCACTCCTAGCATAAAAGTACATGTATAGTGTAAAAATATAGTATATCAAGGTTGTGAACCCTCTAGAGGTGACAATTTTGATCTGATTTTGATGAAACTTGAAATGCATGTTTATATCCTAACGATCTCAATTCCTGTCAATAATAGCGAGTATTGGAAGTAACTTCCTGGATAGTGGCCCTGATTGCATTTTTAGCGTGAAAAATCTTGGTTGCTTTTAATATCGATGCATATTAGACCCTACATGTAACTTCGTGAGTTATAGCCCAGATTGTACGAAAAATCATGTTTAAAAAAGTAGATATTCTACAGAATTGAACTCTATACTGTTTGAAAGGTACATGTATTTATGTATTTAGTTCAAAAACCTAATGAATAACTAAAACTTTAAAAATGTTATCAGGAAGTGACATCATAGACAAAAATAGACCATTATCAGACATCAAAGGAAACCTTTTTTAAACGCCCACATCTTCATGTGTACGTATATTGTCTTCGTCCTTGTCTGTCAACGATTTGTTTTTGGACACTCTACAGGTCACAGTTTTTATACGCCCACATTTTCATGTGGATGTATATTGTCCGCGCCCCCGTCCGCCTGTCCGTCCATCCACAATTGTTTGTGAACAGTCTACAGGTCCCAATTTTTATCCGATTTCCAATGAAACTTAAAAATATAGGTTTATCACCCTAAGATCTCGGTTCCTTTCGATATTGACATATATTGGACTGTAACTTCATGAATTATGGCCCCTGATTGTACGAAAAATCACGTTTTTAGCTTATGAACATTGTAGGGGTCACAATTTTTATCCGATTTAAAAAAAAACGTATTATTGTATCACCGTTACACCCCAAGGACGACTGAGTTCGAATTTCGTGAAAGTCGGATCAAAATTGACAGACAAAATGGCTGCCGTTCGTTCTCAAATTGCGTAAAAATATGGTATATCAAAGTTGTGGACCCTATAGAGGTCACAATTTTTATCCGATTTTGTTGAAACCTGGAATGTAAGTTTATAACCCAAAGATCTCAGTTCCTTTCGATATTCGCGCATATCGGACCGTAACTTCCTGAATTATGGCCCCTGATTGTACGAAAAATGGCGTTTTTAGCTTGTGGACCCTTTAGAGGTCATAATTTTTATCCGATTTAAAAAAAAAGTTTTAGTATATCACCGTTACACCCTAAGGACAGCTGCATTCGAATTTTCGTGAAAATCGTCCCAAAACTGACAGACAAAATGGCCGCCCCTCATTCTCAAATAGCGAAAGAATATGGTATATTAAGGTTGTGGACCCTATAGAGGTCACAATTTTTATCCGATTTTTTCTTGAAACTTGAAATGTAAGTTTATAACCCAAAGATCTTGGTTCCTTTCGATATTTGCGCATATCGAATAGTAATTTCCTTAATTATGGCCCTTGATTGTAGGAAAAATCACTTTCTTTTTAGCTTGTTCTGTATCCATCTCTCGAAAATGTGGGTGTATCCTGCCTGGCAGCCACTGGGTATCTGATTTTAAAAACTTTTAAAAACTTGTTTTCTGTCCAATCTCTTGAAAAAGGTGGGTGTATCTTGCATGGCAATTGCTTGTTATCGATTTCGATGAAACTTGAATTATTGGTTTATCTCCTTAAGATTTGGACCCTTTTGTGTCAAGTAAAACATTCATATCTTTTCTTTGGAACATGACAATGAGAAATCACCAACTGTCCCTCGAACGGTGGCGGGTGGATGGCCTAATGGTTAGCTTGTGCGTGCTGTATCATAAGGTCTGTCCCACGATTGACATCACTCCTATATTTGGTTTCATTGTCCCCCGCCTTTCGAAGAAAGCAGGGGACTATTAAAATGGGTTCGTCCGTCTGTCTGTCTGTCCGTCTGTCTGTCCGTCTGTCTGTCCGTCACACTTTTTGGGACACAATAACTCTCTTCCTAATTGAGCTAGAATGTTCAAACTTGGTGTATGTGTTTATTAGGTCAATGCCTTGATGGAGTTCGAAGATGAGCATTTTCCGCTTAGGGTAAGCAGAGATAAGCAATTTGATTGGTTGATGCTTTGGGACACGATAACTCTCTTCCTAATTGGGCTAGAATGTTCAAACTTGGTGTATGTGTTGATTAGGTCAATACCTTGATGGAGTTCGAAGATGAGCATTTTCCGCTTAGGGTAAGCAGAGATAAGCAATTTGATTGGTTGATGCTTTGGGACACGATAACTTTTAATTGAGCTAGAATGTTCAAACTTGGTGTATGTGTTTATTAGGTCAATGCCTTGATGGAGTTCGAAGATGAGCATTTTCCGCTTAGGGTAAGCAGAGATAAGCAATTTGATTGGTTGATACTTTGGGGCACGATAACTCTCTTCCTAATTGAGCTAGAATGTTCAAACTTGGTGTATGTGTTGATTAGGTCAATGCCTTGATGGAGTTCGAAGATGAGCATTTTCCGCTTAGGGTAAGCAGAGATAAGCAATTTGATTGGTTGATGCTTTGGGACACGATAACTTTAGTTCTAATTAAGTGAGATTGATGAAACTTGGTGTATAGTTTCATTACAGTAATACCTTGACTAAGTTTGATAATGAGCATTTTCTTCTCAGGGTAAGCAGCAATTTGATTGGTTGATACTTTGGGGCACGATAACTCTCTTCCTAATTGAGCTAGAATGTTCAAACTTGGTGTATGTGTTGATTAGGTCAATGCCTTGATGGAGTTCGAAGATGAGCATTTTCCGCTTAGGGTAAGCAGAGATAAGCAATTTGATTGGTTGATGCTTTGGGACACGATAACTTTAGTTCTAATTAAGTGAGATTGATGAAACTTGGTGTATAGTTTCATTACAGTAATACCTTGACTAAGTTTGATAATGAGCATTTTCTGCTCAGGGTAAGCAGAGCGATACGCAATTTGATTGGTCGAGACTTTGGAAAACAATAACTCTCCTACTTTGATTGTTAGACTATAAGTAAAGATATACTGTTTGATTGTTCAATACTTTGTAAAAGATAATTTGTGATAAATTTATATGTGTCCTCTAATTATTTTCCTATTTCGGCGGGGGACATCAGCCTCACTGTTGGCTTGTTTTATCAGTGATTGAGGTATATATATCACACATTAATGGAATTACCCATGTAGATATTCTTTTCTTTATTTAGGTGTTGCACAGACAGCAATATCTTGTGGTGAATCTGAAGGAGTTGTAGGACAGCCACAAGTCCTAAGTTGTAGTATTTCTGGTAGTATAGAAAACAATATATTCTGGTATCGTTATAATGCAACTTATAACGAGAATATAGTTCAATGTTCTACTTCATTGGCCAAAACTGTTAGTACATGTGTAGCACCACCTGATTTAAGATCTCGGTATAATGTTAGCACTGAGAAACAACCCCCAAGAAAGCCATCATTTACAATTATCTCTGTATCAGAGGAAGATTTAAAAGTATTGTGGTTATGTTTGGACAGGATTACGTTCCCAGATAGAACATCAATACCCCCTTCTTCAACATGCAGTTTAAAACAAGGTTTGTACAATTTTGTAATTACCAAATTCAATGTTAGCACATACATTTCAGTCTAGACATCCGGGTTAGCAAAGTTTAATATTTCCATAATTTAGCACTGCAATATTATTTTGACCTATGCCAAATGGTTGTTTCATGTGGAATAATATAGAAGGAAACTATGTAAACACATCCATCACAGTTTCTTACCAAACATTATTTAACATATTATGTGACCTCTGCTGGCAAAATGAGTCGCAATAAGGAAATTTTGACAATCTAGTTATTGTTATTTTCACATTCTCCAACTCATTACCTGCAAAATGATGTATGGTTGGGTTGAATCGAGCTAAGATTGACTGAGTTGTGTCCGTTTGAAGCTGCCCAAGTCAGGAAAGCAAGTTTTGAGAAAAAGCAAGTTAAAGTGACGAACGCACTCTTGCTGTTTGATAGCTCCGGTAAAACAAATATAGCCTTATTTTAGTGTTACTGACCTGTAAATTATCTTATAAATCCTATTTAATTTTTCAAAAATATTTTTAAATCCAAGTCACAGTTGAAAGCCTTTACATAAACCTTTTTAAATAATTTTCTATCAAGGGAGGTAATTAAGCTCTAGATTTGATTTATTTCCTGTTCTAAAAATAGCTTTCCATGATGTAATACCTCTGCATGTGCTACAGTGGGATTCCCCTTTTTTCCCCCGTTTAGGCTACACAAAATAAATGTCTTGTTTCTCGGGCAACTGACAGCTAAAACTAGGGGGGGAGGGCGGTTTATTTTTTTTTTTTTATCTCATTTCTGGCTAGAGGATGGTGCAAAATAAAATTTGCCTATTGTTGAAAATTGTTGGGGCGGGAGGGCGGCCTTGTATTTTTTTTTTTTAATGAGAAAGTCATTACTTGTGTACGGTTTTGCTTTCAGTTATATATTATACATACTTAGAACATAAACCCAAAAATCAAGTCTACTCAAACACTGAACACTGACTGAAAGGAAAATAATTTTCCGTATTTAATTCACGTAATGTAGCTTACTAATGGTAATGGTGACAACCATAATTGAAATTGTTTTAAAATAAAATTCTGTACGACTATTAATAGCCGTCCATAATAACAACAATATTTTAAAGAGTAAGCCTCTGTCAGCATGTGTATCAAAAATAATCATCACGGTAAACGACACTTCGATCTAAATCTAGTATCGCTGGTTTATAATGATTGACCTAATTCCAACCAATGCATGTCACGTGTCATCGGGATTCGTGAAATGACTGTTTCTCAGGATATTTGGTGTGTTTCTCAGGATATTCGGTGTTCTATCTGGGGTTTATATCGAATGACTATTTAAATTTAACTAACAACTCGTCAGTAAAACCATCAAATGTGTAATCCAATTATTATTTTCCGGATTATCAAAACTACCGTAAATGTGCTAATGACCCAGATTCTGACTAAGGTATGGTGACTATCATCGTATCGTATTCGTAGCCACAAGTTATAATAATTAACCTGTTCTACGATTCATTGTTTTATAAGTAGGATTTTTTCATACATGGACCGACTGAAGCCGGCAATAATGAGCCGATTAAGATCGAATGATTGAAATACATTGCATTGTTGTCAATGACTTTAGGTGTTTAACACGAATCAAATTCTAGTTCACAAGGGGAGGTAATTAAAATCACGTGATAAAAAAATGGAGGTTCTTTCGATATCAATAAAAAAGACCCGTAAATGAGCGTTTACATCTGAATCAGTTTAATACATTTGAATGGATATTAACGAATGGGGCATGTAGATACATGCGGCATATTTTTTTTATGACTTGCTTATCGATGTTCGGGCGGGCGTTACATATTTTTTATTTTTCATCAAGACTAATAAATAGGCCGCACGCGCAACCAATTTTGCGTGCTAGCGGTGCCCGAGAAACAACTTATTTTATTTGTGTTGCCTTATAGAATTTTTTTTCCAAACTCATTGATAGTGAAATCTGTGAGAACATCACTGGCCTACCTGAATTTTTTCCTATTTTTTAAAATAGGTTTGTTAAAATGAAATATATAGCACCAATAAATTGGAATATGATACACTCAAAGCCATAAAAAACGCAATGCCAAATTCAAAGTTTATTTACTGCAACAACTTTTAACAAATGTATATAACAATTGACAAAATCGAGCTAACAAACATCTGTGGATAATTTCATGAAAGAATTCACTACAAATGTACAAAACCGAAACATCAGAAACCAATAAACAAAGCAGGGATCAGCTGAAGTCAATATCGGGTATGTCCACACTGGGCTCTTAAACATGCCTGAAGTCGAATTGGCATGGACTGGCACAGATGTCTCACTACACACTGTGGGGTTGTCTGCCAATGATTTTGGAGTGCCTGTGCTAACTCTGCAACAGTTGGTGGTGGCACGACTTGAGTTCGAACCCGTCGTCCATGTTCATCCCAAAGGTATTCGATCGGGTTCATGTCGGGATCGGGTTCAGAGGGCAGGTACACGTACAGCAAATATTGTTACCCTTGGCTTTATATACAAGAACATTTGCTTCACATTTAAACAGGAAGTGATAACAGATGTTCTAGTTTAATATTATTTAATTGCATACATGTGATACCTCCCGCAATTCGCGGGAGTCTCCCGATTTCACCCCTGATCTCCCGAGCTCCCGATCGGGAGACAAATACTCCCGCTTTTTCAATTCTTGTAATTTTATTTTTTGGGAATCAAAATTGTAATCAAATAGCATCGAAATAAAACAAGACAGACTTTTTTTTTTAAATGTTGTGTTGAATGTTGTTAACGGTACTATAATTAGTAACATGGCCTGAATACATTTCCGATGTTTTCGTATTTGGAACAATACCATTTAAATAACACGATAATTATTGTTTTTATACAAAATTAATAAAGTCCTGGTCGTAATATTCATGATTTTCGATGTTAAATGTAGTCGGAAGCTACGAGACCCGGAAGCTACCGCTTTGCAAAACTGAAAGTTTTCACGGCAATTTCACGGCAATTTCTGCACAATAAAACATAATTAAATAGTAATGTGAATGTTCAGAACAGGATGAATTAATAGGGCTTTTTTTTTACATACATTTTTAATTTGTAATGTGTGATTTTAAACTCATTACGGTTATGTTACCAATGTGGACAGCAAGGTAATTCAGACGGAACCAAGCTGATTGGGACCATGGCTGATTGGGACCATGGCTGATTGGGCCAAAAGTCAAAGCTGATTGGGACCACATTCCAGGCTGATTGGGACCACCACTAGGCTGATTAGGACCACACGATAAAAAATACTAGAAATTGAGGTTTTGATATTGAATTAAGTTTAAAGGAGTTTTATCTAGGCTATAACGTGACTATAATTATATGCTTTTATGTAGGCCTACGTTATTTATGTTTATATTCCATTTTTTTTATGTCACAGTTACTATATTAACAGAGATTATCTCATTAATCTTATGTCAATTATCAAACGTTTTATGCAATTTAAACAGACCATTTTTATTTTATTTTATAAACTTCGGGCTTGTTACGGAATCCATTATAGCCTATATATTGTGTGTAATTATACGCAGAAATACTGTTTAAACCAATTTATGCTAATTTCAATAAGTCATACAAATTTGAAAACTAATACTAGCAATACAGTAGCATAACGGAAATATTGGTTTGTAAAGGAATTGAATCGCCACCAAATGTCTCGTTATATGAAATAAAATGATATTTACTAATTAAAATATTATACAAAGAACAATTGTCTGTCATTTTTTCAACTTCACTCATTACAAAATATCGCATTCGTTGCAGTAATTATACTGATATGAGGCTATTTGACATTGGGTTACAATTTGGTAATACTGGGTAGTATTTATTGTCATGCAGACATATTTAAAACACTCTCGTCATTGGTCTGATCATGGTCCGAATCAGCCAAGAATCTGGTCCCAATCAGCCAAGAATGTGAAGCATCTTCTCTGTGATTTAGCTCATTTGTATTGAAGCCGTCATTCACTAATTACACTATTATTTGTGACTAATTACACTATTTATTGTCATAGTTGTCTTATTATCAAAAATATGCAAACATATTTTAAATACTCGCGTCATTTAAGTAATGGTCCGAATGAGCCTTGTCGTAGTCCCAATCAGCCAAAAATCTGGTCCCAGTCAGCCAAGAATCTGGTCCCAGTCAGCCACAAATCTGGTCCCAGTCAGCCAGGTCCCAATCAGCCATGGTCCCAATCAGCCAATTACCATTCAGACCATGTGACATGAACATTATGTCGTCTGCAGTTGGAATTTGTTTAGCACACGTAAAGGATCGTACATGAATGGTGTTGAAAATATCATCAACAATACAATTCATACCGTGTGTGATCAGTAACTTGCAAGTTATGCACAAAATATGAATAATGTTTTTCAAAATGACAATAACCACCAAAATTTAATAACCATAGCTACCGGAATGTAAATGGGCTATCAAGGCAAAGTAAACTGTTAGTGTTACATTTAAAATATGTAACTGCACATCAAATAACCAAAACTGCTTATCAAAAGTTTTTAAATTTATCAATGTTGGCCTAGGCTACATGCATATTAAAATGATATTAAAATATATAAAATATGTAAATTAATTTGTCTTTTATTCATGGTGGGTGGGTAATTTTAACGCGTGATTAAAGTCTCCCTCTTTTGACCTTAATTCTCCTGACATTTTTACAAAAATCTCCTGACATTTTACTTGTGGCCAATCACATGTATGTAATTGTTATCTGAGATAAATATATATATATGCTAATTACAGAAACTACAACCATTATACCAATTACAACAACTGAAGGTAATTTACTCATTTTCCTGTTTTACTTTCCTTTTGTTCACTTTTAGTTAACCTTCTTAAACTTAACAAACAAGGGACAGTAGCAAATATATCTGAATCCGTAATATCAGTAATTTCTTGGAACGGCCATCAGTAATTTCTTTAA